AGATATCAATCAACTTTCATCAGCTTTGCATAATTAAAATTTTCTCCAAAATCTGATATTTGAAATTCAGATCGCTGCAAGACATAAATTTCTGCAGTGTTGATCACACTTGACGTGACACTATGCGATAACGGCCGTATTCAATCCTCAGTAGCTTCAAAACCTCTGGATAATGAACAATCATAAATTACACCAATGTAACAGCGTAGAGATACACAAAGCGTTTTGGGTGCACAGTATGTTAGTGAGACACCGAACGGGAGGTTTACTGGACGATACGAAACTGCAACAGCTCTTGTCATCCGCCTTCCTTTCCTTCCACTCTCCATATCCCTGTCTCCTCGCTTCCCCTTTTGTGGAATATATATCGTGTGTATCAGCAATATCAGGTGCTCTGAGTTGGATGTTTCTCTGCTTATCATCGCCGGATGTTCCAGAAACTCCCATCGAACAACGATGAACTTCCGGTGTGATATGAAACTTGAGGATGAATTACGGTGAAAAGAACAAGTTTAAACCGGGATAAAAACCAAATGTGGATCGACATCATGATTGAATATTCTTGAATTGACTCGATGCCGTACAAAAGATCGAGAGATGTTCATCAACATGATGATTTGATCATCAATTCCTTGGAGGAAGTTCAGTTTTTTTTCAAACTTATTACCTTTCCGACCCGAAGGGAAGAAGTTATTGCGATGACCCCGAAAATGGAATGTAGAATTTCCATGATTTCTCCACATTTCTTGACTTCTAGAATCATCCTGATACGTTTTGGAAGACAGCTGTGTGCATGTGTGTATGTGTACGTAGTGACCAAAATTTTGTCCAACAATATTTTCTGAACAAATGGACCGATTCAAATTTTTTTTTTCAATCGATGTGTGTTTATATAACATTTTGAAATTTTCGAAATTTTCTTGTAAGGGGTCCATCGAATTTTATAAATTATTTCATGAAGAATTTCGGGTTAGTCCATAAATTCGTGCGTATTTTTCAGAACATGAAAAGTGAACAAAAACATAAACAATATTCAGTTAATTAAGTATATTGATACAGTTAATATTTATGCAATATTGATACAGTGTAATTTTGTATGAATGATTGAATAAATAAAAATTGAAAAGACGAAAAATTCCCGTCATCTCAAGCATTTCGAGGTAATTACTCCAAAATATGCAGAAAAACTGTTTACTGCGGAGTAAAATCTAATTTCCATCCCGCTGGATATAATTTGTGTCAACCTTCTCTTTATCAGAAAGCGGAAGGTGAAAGTTGAAGAAGGGGATTAATTTTCCGCCAACCTTATTAGTAACATTCCAGCCGACCGTCATTTGGCCCCCTGCTACCAAACGGTGGAGCAATTTTTCCCATCAAAGTGAGGATAGAACGTAATCAAATTGTCTCTGCTGGCAGGCATAACTTCGTTTTTTCGCTTAATTGCATGAAAATAGCCATGCATCATGAAAATGAGTGAATCCTCTACTAAAAGGGGTCAGAACATTTAATCGATCAACTCAAATGAGATCGCAATCTTGAAAGAGAAACCGCTTGATTTTTTTCTCTTTCAGACATCTGAATTTAGACGCTAAATTCAACTGGGTTAAAACCTGTGAGATACAAATTGAAATCTCATGGACAGTTTAGTAGTAATTTTCAGGAGAGTGACATTGAGATCGATTCAGGAAAGGAAAAGCATGCAATTTCACAGTTCACTGAAGAATTTCACAGAAACTAATAAAATGCTGAAGAAAAACGAGAATCACGGATTCTTCCATAAAATCCTAGAATAAACCGAAAAAGACAATCAGAGAATCTGAAATTTGAACAATAATCTAATAATTATTAATTTAAATTTGCAATTGATAATGAATTACATAATTGACAATATGACATCGTCAATAGACTATTGAGTATATCTTTCAAAATTTCATAAAAGGGATTTTCAAAAATCGTTGGAATTGGAATATTTAATTGATGATTAGTTTGATAATAAAAATTATGCCAACGTCTGGAAGAAAATACATTCTTAATTCTGGATTTCAGTTATTTGAGTCTGTTTGAGCAACGCCGGGCCGCACGGCTAGTCATCAATAATAACAATTCATGAATTACACGAACATTATCCAATTGAAATGTTATAATTAACTAGAAAATGGAAATGATCTTGGCACCAAATATTGGTTAATTATGTTATTTCATCATCACTCTGAAAATTAGGTCATGTAATCTTCCATTGTCAATCAAAATTGATCAAAAGCTCTAGTTACTATGCATTATTTTGCAGGATAGACGTTCCCTGGATTTAGTGCGCCGCAGAAAGCAATTTCCATCGCAATTTTCGATTTGATGTACCCAATTTTTGCGCCAGTAAAAATTTATATATTTTCCAATTTTTCACATCAAAGAGGCTACTTAAGGAAGGAAAACCAATGAAGGATTTCGTACTTATCAGTGAGCTCATGTTTCCCCAGAGGGTTTATTGATATTGTACTAAACCCATGTATCCCCTAACACATTTCGAGGTTTTAATGGCTTATCGCCGTGTGATGTATCCAAGGAAAATCCCAAACTCCTATATAACGAGACATGCCAGCAACATCGGCATGAGACTGTAACCATCTACTATACAGTTCGCTATGATCATAAAACGTACGACGATTTTATGAACCACTAGAATGTCAAGATGTCGGGCATCTTCAACGCAGGTGCACAACGGTGTCGGCTTCTTCAACTATGCTGTAGTGTCGATTTTCTCGGGATAACATAGACATAGCACCGAGACCCATAAAACATTGTAGAAGTTACGTTACGTGCGGATAGACAATCTGAGAATGCTCGTAAAAATCGCTGATGTATTCTTCACTGCAGCCACCATGTTGCTCTCAGTGCGGTGAGGAAATATTTAGTTATCCACGGGATATGGCGATTTTTAGGGGGACTCGCAGAGGAAAACATGTTTATTTTTAGGAATTTGCGGGGGTCTGAAATTCAACGTCTGGGAAATTCTAAAATCAAGTGGTTATGTGAGTAATTTTAATACGTAGAGAATAAAATCCCAAAACTTACCATGACCATAGGAGGGAATACTATAGCCATGTAGAAGAGACTTTTCCACTGATCCTACATAGTAATCCTCACTATGTCAGTTAATAAACACTACAGTGGCCTATGGAATGCTCTACTATATTGGACGTGCCCTGATGAAGCTATGGACTAATTTAGGACCAACTTTTGACGCCGTTATTGAGACGTCTACTTTGGTCCTCTGGACGGTCCAAGTATTTAATTTTAGGACTTTCGGGGACTTCAATTGTCAGTGTATTTGAAGTCTATAGGACGTCCTTCTCACAAGTATAAAAGATCCAATAGACGTCTAGAGAACGTCCAGCTAAGTCTCAGTGAAGACTAATAGGGGTCCTCAAGACGTTCTATGTAATTTAGAAGGCGTCAATTCGACGTCCATTAAACTACCTCAGACGCGTCAACAGGACGTCCACCGGAGTCTGATCGGGCTCTGACTTGGGTCCTCCGGACGTCAGATGTCATCTAGTAGGAGTCTGTTGAACGTCCAATAAAGTTTTACAGACGGGTCTACAGGACGTCCAACAGCGTTCTATTGGGCTCTAAGTCGGGTCCTCCGGACGTCAGGTGTAATTTAGTAAGGGTTTGTTAGACGTCCAACAATGTCTTATAGACGAGACTATCAGACGTCCAGCGGCGTCCCATTAGGCTCTATTCGGGTTCTCCAGACGTCAGGTGTAATTTAGTAAAGCTCTGTTAGACGTCCAACAATGTCTTATAGACGAGTTTACCAGACGTCCAGCGGCGTCCCATTAGGCTCTATTCGGGTCCTCCGGACGTCAGATGTAAATTAGTAAGGGTCTCTTAGACGTCCAACAAAGTCTTATAGACGAGTCTACCAGACGTCCAGCGGCGTCCCATTAGGCTCTATTCGGATCCTCTGGACGTCAGATGTAAATTAGTAAGGGTCTCTTAGACGTCCAACAAAGTCTAACATACGGGTCTACAGGACGTCCAACAGCGTCCCATTGGGCTCTAATTCGGGTCCTCCGGACGTCAGATGTAATTTGGTCAAGGCTTGTTGAACGTCGAGCAACGTATATGAAACCCGCGTCTCACTAGGCTGAGAATGGAGTCCCCAAGACGTCTGATGTAATTTATTAAGCGTCTATTGGACATCCAGCTGAGTACCTTGGAGGGCCAATGGGACGTACAGGGTTAATAATGAAGTCTGGTGGACGTTTCATAGGTCAATCAGTCTCTTGGACGTTCTACGAGACGTTCATGGGATGACTACCGGCCGTAACAAACAGAATTGGAACCCGGTCCCGCAGACCACAATAATTCTAATTTTCTTCTTCAAGTCTTTGATAACTTATTGTCCATCAAACGTCCACAGTGAGCCTATATTCAGTCCAATGGACTGACCAACCCACAGGGTCTAAAGCTATTCTAGCACACTAGGATAATGTTCAACGCCTCGATTTCCCTTCAGCCCACCCCAGTCAACCTAGCCAAATAATCAAGCTAGCGCAATGAGCGATAAGCGTTTCATTCGATTTTTTATTTTGTCGCGGTCGTCCAAACTGAAGCCATAGCGAGAATATACGTCACAAGCTCGATTCACGACCATTGAACGCTCATGATTTCCTCTTCAGCGTTTTCTCAATTACTTCAATCACTATAGTCACTGAGACAGATAATTCCAAACATGAATAAACTCTTTTATTATGTAATTCTATTACATTAGAACTTTCATTTCACATATTTAGCAAACCAACAAACTCTTACCCAAAAAGTCGTATTTCGAAAACATTATAATGTGTTGGAGGAAAGATAAAAAAAACATAAATAATATAAAAAAATGGCATAAATGAAGGAGAACATTAATGTATACATCTATGAAGAATGGTATTAATCGTCATCCCCCTTAACATTTGCATCAAACTTTTCCTCTGGACTCTTGCCGTCCATGTTCACACTGGCCTCTCCATCTTTTCCCCCTCTTCTTTTTCCTTCCTGTCCTCTTCATCATCGGCATCGTCATCGTCATCGTCCGTTGTACTGTAGACTTTCTCGGTAATCGGATTCTTCACATTCTCTTGAGTTACTGTGTCTTCTTCAGATTCATTTTCTCTAGATCTGTTCATTTGACATATTTGCACAGGATCTGCAACTTCAGTGCTCTTGGCTAATGCCCCCTTCCTTTGTTTTCGTTCTTTCTCGTTTTCTTTGTCCTTCTTTTTTCCTTCGCCCGATTTGACCTTCTTTTTTCCTTCACCTGATTAGACCTTCTTTTTTCCTTCACCTGACTTCTTCTCGTTTGCTTCCTCATTATCATCCAACGGCATGCTCTTTTTGTGCACTTCACGCAATTGCCAAGTGATTCGTTTCAGTTTTTCAGCAATATCTACCTCAGTGAGCCACACTTGTTTCTCCTTTTCCCATTTTAAAGCATTTAAAATATTCTTCATGGCTTCTTTGTAGATTGAAGTGATGAGAAACTCCTTGTCGGTCGAAGTCAACTGATATTTGTATGCATCAGCCCCCAAAAAATAGATTCAAAAGAGCTGCCACTTTCTTGGAGACTCCCCTTTCCTTCACCACGTGCTCCAAATCGGTCCTTTGGACGAAAATGCCAGCTCCACAATATACCTAGAGGCAAGTAATAATGAAATTAGTATCTAACATGACACTTTTCAAAGTAATTATCCCCATTCATAAATCAGAAAATTTTAAATTATTTTCTCAACCACGCCTGAAATGGATTTAAAATTTGTGTGGATATTTTTTAATGAAATTTTAATTACCAGTACTATAGAAATGAATGGGGAAGAGAGGAGTAAAATGATATTAGAATAGATGCAAAAAAAGCTGTAAAAAGACATACGTTCTACTATTTACGTCTATTTATAACTTTTTACACATCTTTTTCCCCCTATTATCAAACAAAAGCTATTGAAAAAGCATCAATACGTTATCCTCAGGTATATCGTCTGGCACATCATCTTCAGGTATTGTTTTTACAGCACAAGACATACTCTCTATGTCTTCACTTCTCTTAAAGAAATTGTCGTTAGTTTCTGAAAAACAACACAAAAAAGAATTCTCACACTCATTATCCTTTAAAACGATGCGCTAGTATGACAAGAATTGAAAAATAAACTATCTGAGCCCATGCATTGCTGAATATTATCCACCCCCGAACAAATATGTGTCAGTTTGTCAACAATAATTTTTTCATCTCATCCTTCTCGATCAATAAATGCTACGTTTGCTCTTTCAAACGTTTATTCTCACGCTCTAACTCATCATTCTTGTGTCTTAAAACTCCGACTTCTTGCTCCATAAGATCTGTCTGGCTCTCCCAGATGTTGAAGCATTTGCAATGCCGTGTACAGGGCTCTTCTGTATCATCTGGTCTCTGAGGTGCGACAGCAGTTCCCCTCACATGTGTTACCACCTTCTTCTTCATTTTGCCTGGATGGTCATCTTCATCGAGGGACTCGCCATTCGTATTCTTGTCGTCGTCCGTGTCCTTTCCATCATTTTTGTTCCTTTTTCCACCACCATTACCATCCTCGTCAGATTCCCCATTATTTTTAGTGTGATTTTTTCTTAGATTTGAACGTGTCCAACATCTTTTTTCCAGCAGCTGTCTTGGAATTTCGTTTGGCCTGAAGGTCTGCTGTCTGTAAGAATGAGTCGAGCAAACAAATGATGAATTCATTTATATCCTATTTTCCTTACAAAATTCAAAAAATTCTTCATTCCAAACCGATTTTGGAAAGAAAAGCAAACAGTAATTGAAGTAATTAATTCTTAGGAAGTGGGCCAATTCACCGAAGAATGATTTTATTCTTAGAACACTTGATTATCAACCAAAATGAAAGAATTGCTCGCCATGCGAGGCCTCTGGTCTTAATTCATGCAGACAATTCCCATTATATAATTCAACCTAAAAACTTTTAAGCTGAATGGGAAAAATCTGGAGAATAAATTCAAAATATAAATGATAAAATAAATTCTTATCGAAAATTGGCACAACTTTGGAAGAATATTTGTGATTGATTACTGTATATGTATATTATCATAGGAAAAATTGAAAGGTAAAATGGGAAATGTCATATTGACCCGAATCGTTTCTTATTAACTAATTTTTTTAACATTGAAAATCTCAAGATTGAGTGCAATTCAAAAATTTGTTACTACACACAAGTCTATCGGACGTTTCAGCGTCGAGTCTCGAGTCCAATCGACGTCCAACCATTTGGCCTTAAGTCTTGCGGGCGTTTGAGTATTCTATCGGAGTTTGACGGACGTCTAATTGTTCACACTCAAGTCCGGCTTAGTAATTTCCAAGTGAAATAATATAATTGAACATAAAATCGGTAATTACTAGAAGTGGGGTGCCTCGGGGTGGTTGAATTTTTTTTTATATCGAATCGAGTACGTCAGAAAGACAGCAATTATTGGCAATTTCGCCCAGATTTGTCTATATGAGTTGGTCTAATGCGTCAAATTTATTGGTAATCAACTTTTGTTTGGCTAACAGATGATTTGGTTTCAGGAAAAAATATATAATGTAAACTACTGATAAATCGAAAAGAATACTTACACGTGATTTTTTTACAGTGGATTTCTCTGTTTGGAGAAAAAATTTGTTGAATTTTTCACGATTTAGCTCTGTTGACGACCTGGATGGTGCTCTGAGTTTTTTGTCCTGAATTTTTCTAGTGAGCTTGTCTAGGGTTTCTAAACAATGCATAAAGCAATTGAAAAAAAACGATAAAATCATTGGTGTGTTCTTACGGACTAACTCTCGATGATTAAGACTAGAGTAGACTACTCAATGCGTTCCTAACCTTCGTAAATTATTTCAATTAGAACTTTCATATATATTTTAAATACCGCAATCATCAACTAATATTCACAGATCAATACACCGCAAAAAATAATATAAATAATAAAAATAACCTTTAAGGCCAATAAAAATAACCATTGAATATAAATAATGTTTCTTGTTCCCTTGGACCCTATATATTTCTTTTGCTGAAAGAGTTACTGTGTACATGTCATGATTAAAGACGAGGTCTGATGGACGTCCGGGAATTCTCACTCAAATGCTATGTATGTTAACGCGTTCGTAGTCGGGACTAGATATTGGGACGTTTAGAGAATTTAATATTGATAGAGAAAATTATCGTCTATTGAACGAAAGATAACGCAATCAATTTGAAACAACTATCTGATTGAAGATCGGGAAACCCCCAGATACCCTAGTAGTCCGGTGGACCACAGACACAATAAGCATGTGTTTTTGTTGATATTTTTTTTTTTTTTTTTCGTTGAGAAATCGGGGTTAGAAACGTCCTGTTTTACATAAAATGGATTTCCTGTTCAATCTCTCACACTTGTATGCTTTTTTTATGTGCATAATAAAAACCACGGTAAACAATGTTAATTTGTCTGAATAATTACCTGCCATAGCGAGGATGTACACATAAACCATGAAATCACCATCCTTGTATCCATAAGCACTCTTTGGCTTAAAATCACCGTTATTCAATAGCTTAAACTCTTTATAATTGTACCCATCGATTTGAAATAGTTCACTGGCTTCAAACTTGCGACGTGTATTATCAAGACAATCCTTACAAAGGACCCACATTTCTCCGCCCGCGTTTGCAGTCATTCTCCACAGATAGAATTATTATGATGATTCTTTACACAATAATTTATTTTATTCAGCCAGATCTCACTGGAATTATCCCCGAAAAATTACTACACCCCTTAATCACCCCACGATTATTGTAAGTCGCCTTTTCGATTATACTGACTGTGATCTTTGTGTGGAGCGTGCGGGCACTGTCTGCCGGCAGGTCTCAACTGGCACGAGCCGCACGTGTCATGGGTACCGTTCCCTCCAAAAACAAGACTCGCCATGCCCAAAAAGAGGGCGCCACTTGAACAACTGCCCCGTCGAAGTACTGTTCAGGATAAGCACATTTCAATTAGCCTGGATTCAGCTCATTTGCGGTGTGAGAATCAAATTCAGTTGCATTTTGGGAAACTGAAATGCGCTATCTGAGTACGCGTTAATGAGCAATATCCATTATCACTCATGGCTTCGCACAAGGCTGCATCGCGACGAAAGTCTGGTTGTCAAAGTCGATCAACTTTATGGAGACACAAAAAATTGGCGGAAAAATATAGCAAATTAAATAAAGAACATGGATATGTTCGGATTCCAAACATTCGACAGTTGAGAAAGGTAAGGTTATGTTGCCGACAGTTTAACGTTTAATTCACTATGACTAAATCAACATTGAATTACAAACTCGTAAATTACTTACAGACGTCAACTACAGCCAGCTGTTCTGTCAAAAAATATGAGGCTAGTAATTCGGCTCCTATAGACGACACAGGTAAAGCCTCAAATAAAAATTCAACTGAACCAGTGGGTAAAATTTTGTGATCGTCGTTTTTATTGTCTGACATTTATGTATTTATCGTAGAAAATACCAAAGAACGAGTGAACTGGAGCAGTGTTGAAAATGCTGAGTCCAATACAGGAATCTTTGCAACTAGTAGGAACTGTACTAATGGTGACAGTGATGAAGTCGATTTCCAGAGCAAGTGTGATAATGCTGATGGCATGATTGAGGTTAGGAAAATAATATTTTAGTTATTTCTGGTGACACCATTTTGAACTGTCATTGAATTTGACACTGAACTACCAATGGAACAGTGGGCTTTTGATTATGCTCAATTTTGGGGTCTTGTAGACGTCTGATGGGTTAAAAAGACGTTCTACGAATGTTTAGCTGTCCCTACTCGAGTCCAACGACCGTACGAGTGTACAGATTTGAGCCTGATGAACGTCCGATCGGTCCGACTCAAGTCTGATGAATGTTCAGTCGTTCACACTCGTGTCTAATGGACGTCTAAACGTCAGAACGTGACCATCTATTCCATACTCAAATGTGTTTCCTGTTCCATCACATGGAATAATACTTCATTGCAGTAACAATTTCTGAGTTTAATGCGCATTGTTTTATATTAGGATTCATGCCGGGAGTCTGGGAGTATTATCTGTGACGGAATTCAGCGGAATGAGAGTAATTCAAGTACAGACCAATCTATCTGTGAGGTACGTGTCTGTCATTTATTAAACCCATGAGTACGTATACCAAGCTTTTCATTAAATTGTGATGATATCATCTTGATTAGGATGATTCTGACACGGTCAGCACTACTCACCGTGGAGAGCCGGATGCAGATCAGTTTGCTCAGAATGATTCAAATACGGATCCCCATGGTAACTCGGACGGTGAATTTGAAGATGTACCATATGAAGATCATCACGATGGTCCGGATGATAATTCAACATATGAAGATTCTGAGAATAGTTCAAACGACGATCCCCATTATGATTCGGATAGTGAATCAGAAGATGGACCGTATGGAGATCCTGGTGACGACCCTGATGACACCTTAGATGATAATTCAGCTTCTTCACATACATCCTCTAGTGATAGTGATTTTAATCTCGACTCTGACCATTTGAACTCCATTTTACGGGTTTGTCAACAACACACAACAAGAGAAGCTTTGCTGCTAATCCTTGGGAATTCGCCACAATGAACCTTACGTGGCTAGTATTGGAATTATGAGATCAATTAATGTTTTACTGGGAAGGAAGTTTTTGCCAGACTCAAAGCATGCACTATGGAAAGCAATTAACCAAAAAACCTCGAAAATTCAGTTCAGAGCGTACTGTCCTCAAAAATTTTCTGGACTTTACTCGGGAAAAAATTTCACAGAGAATGAAACATGCCCTTGTGGATGGATCATTAAAAAGAAAGAAGTAAAATATTTTGTCACTCTCAACCTGAAAAAAGAATTCGCACAGTTTCTCAATTCTCCTTCTGCCAGGGAAGCTCTCCAGTATGAGAGATTGAGAGAGAAACGATGTGAAGAAAGTACCGAAGATATTTTTGACGGAGAAGGGTATAAAACGTTAAAAGAAAAAGGAATTATATTGGAGAATGATTTTGTATATGTCTTCAATACTGACGGGTTCAAATTAGGAAAGTCAACGAAGACTAGTGCTTGGCCCCTCTTCATCAGGCTTCCTGGGTTGCCTACCAATATTAGACAAAAACATATGTTTTTGGCTGGACTTTGGATAGACCAGGGGGAACCAAACATGGCGGTTTTTTTGGAGCATTTTGTTCGTGATGCTAATAAGTTGTCTTCGACAGGCATTTTGTGGAAACCCGTTGGAGTTAACGAGATTCGTAGTCGATTCATACCAGTCTGTTGTTCAGCCGACGCTCCTGCCAGATGTTCCATTTTAAATATGAGTCAATACAATGGCCATTTTGGCTGCACTTACTGCGATCATTACGGTATTTGGGAGGCGGGAAGTATGAGATATCCGGTCCGAGATCACCCAGATATTCCACAACCTGTATCACGCACGCATGATGGCATCATTAATGACATATTTGAAAGTGATCGTCAACAGGCCAATGTTCGAGGAGTTTACGGGCCTAATCAGCTCATGAATTTGGATCATTTTGATTTAGTGCAAGGGATGATTGTGGGCGATGTGCATGCTGCGTTCCTTGGTGTTGCTGAATTTCATATTGAATTATTCTGGACTAAAGTTGGAAAACCGTATTACTTAGATCCTCAAAAGAAGAAAATCATCAATAGTCGATTGAAGAAGATTAAAACGCCAAGAGATATCAGCCGCAAGCCAAGGAGCCTGGATCAGAGAGCTCTTTGGAAGGCCTCTGAATGGCGTAGCTGGCTTTTTTACTATTCTGTGATATGTCTTGAAGATTTACTACCTAAAAAATACATTGATCATTTGGAATTGTTAGCCAACGGTTTATTCTTGCTCTCCAGTGAAGTTATTATGCTAAATGATTTACGTACAGCTAAATCCTGTTTGAAAAAGTACGTCGAACTTTTTCAAGACTATTTTGGTATTGAAAATATGAGGTATAACATTCACCTTCTTCTACATATCATCGATAGCGTGATCAATTGGGAACCTCTGTGGGTGTACAGTACGGCTGGTTTTGAATCGTGGAATAACAAATTATTGAGGACCATTACATCACCGAAGGGATCAATTCACCAAATCGTGACCAGATATCACATCAAGAAGTTTCTTCATAATATAATAGAAGATGATCGAGTTACGCCCCCAGTAAGGGATGAGCTAAAAGCTATCTTATTTAAAACTCCACTCAATGCAAGGAAGGTCAATAACGCATATGTAGTAGGCAGTAGTATACATTGTCACCCGACAGCGGAAGAACGAGTTTTAATGGACGAAAATGAAATTCGTAGCCAACAAATGAGAGTATATTCTCGAATATTGGTTAATGGTTCAGAGTTTCGAGCTAATGAAAAGACAAATTGTCACTCTGACAATCGTTTCTTAATAACACGAAATAATAATTTCTTTTTCATTAAGAAAATTGTAACGTTTGATGATCCCGAAATTTGCGGTCTATTCGGTGTCCTTCTAGGAGTGAATAATTCACTTACACATGCTAAGTATATTGCAAAATTGAATGCCAATTATGACGAACATTTTTTCATTAACTCGAACGATATTATAAGTCCAGCCATAAAAATATCTCTTATGACTAACTGTTATGCAGTGCCGATTTCAAATCGGTTTGAAATTGACTGATGAACTTCGGAATATTTGTTTATACATAACTATTTTGTACTATAATAAAGGAACGTATATCTTGCCGACCGAATCGTTTGTCTTTTGCTTATAATACATCTTATAACTTTAATTCAGATTACGTCATGTAAACTGAAGTCACTCGGGCTCACGTATGTATAAATATCCTGTACAATAAAAATGAAACTCACCACTTGAACCGATCAAATAGAATCGATGGCGATTGCACTTCAAGGGATATAAATTGATAGTATACTGTAAGAATGGGATTTATATTCATTGGACTTGCTGGGGACCCACTGTGGACAGTTTGTAGGTTATAAATTCGTAGAAACATAATAAAAAATAAAAAAATTATGTCCCCTGGATTGTGTTCAGATTCCGTTAATGGCGTCTAGTGGGTGATAAATCGTCTGTCACTGACACAAATCTCTTAAATAAGCGTGGTCTATTGAACCGTGCTCAGATGTGACGTCTTCTGGACTTTGGTTGGTTCGCGACCTGTACGAAAACACCAGATCATATTTTGTCCATTGGACCAGAACCCCATTTGTGACGTCCATTTGACTCACTACTGACCCATAATGGACGTCTTCTGGACTTTGATTGGTCTGTGACCTGTACGAAAACTCCAGATCATATTTTGTCCATTGGACGAGGATAGGACCCGATCGGTGACGTCCATTTGACTCAATACTGACCCATTGTGGACGTCATCTGGACTGTAACTTGTACGCAAATTGCAAGTTGTATTGAGTCCATTCGACTAGACCAGAACCCCATTTGTGACGTCCATTTGACTCACTACTGACCCATCATGGACGTCTTCTGGACTTTGATTGGTCTGTGACCTGTACGAAAATTCCAGATGATATTTTGTCCATTGGACCAGGATAGGACCCGATCGGTGACGTCCATTTGACTCAATACTGACCCATTGTGGACGTCATCTG